CGCCTTTCATTTTGCAAATAGAAACTCACAGCCAAATCCCTAAGTCTTTTCAAAATTCTGGGCTCCCTAAAGATGCTGTGGGTTGTCTCTAGAGCTCTAGCTGCAAGATCAGACAGTCAGAAATACTTTCCCCTTTATAAACACTTCTCTGCTTTTAAGCCCCATTGCTGAGCATCTTGAACTGTATTGATTGATCCTCCTTTTTGGATTATGGAACAAGACTACAAATGGGATGAAAACCAAAGTAATTTCTAGCTTTAGAAATGCAGAAAATGTGTTTAAAAACCTGACCAATTTCTGCCACAGATTGTACGACACTATTACTTCACCGGAAATGTCCATCCACATGTGAACTTTATAGTAGTCATTTTTATACTCTCACAGTTGAAAAAAGCAGAAAGAGGAAAAAACAAGGGGAAAAATAACCAATTTAACAGAATGGTCTAGGAGCCATAAATACTACAGTTGTTTCTTGCACTGGTCACTTGGGAGGGAGACCAAAACCTCAAGCTCTATTTTCCTGTGGGAGGCAATGATTTCCCCTTTAAAAGGGATTCTTGAACTCTGGATCCCCAGGTGTCCACCACCCTTTTGATGAAAGGGCATTTATGTGGCAGATGGTACAAATAGCCTGGCATGCTTTGTAGTTACTGGATCACTATAAAAATAAAAACTGCCAGATGGCTGGCATGTTTCTTGGCAGGAGCATAGGGTCCCACTGACTGATGAGAGGAAGCAAAGCTGCCCAAAATAAAATAATAGCATCTGAATTTGCTTTGGAGTGCTTTTAAAATGTGGCTTACTCTGTGTTGGATTTGATTCCTGATGTCTAGGAAGCACCTTGAGACATTCCTCCATCTGTCTGCACCAGAGGAGCATTGCTCATGTCTCTTCTCCTGATTTCACCTGTCCCTCACACCCCAGAGAAATGGGATCTCTCCACCAGCCAGTTCCCTTCCAGAAGGAAGTTCTGCTGGATGCAGGAGGTGGCGCTGCAGGTTGTGATCTCCCCAGCCTCTGTGATAGCAGAGGATGCGTTCCTGAGGGAATACCTCATCTCCCATTCTCTGCTGTTTCTGTCCAGGTTCAAACCTGCAGCACAGCGGAGCACTGTCATACTACAGTACTACAAGAAAACCACCACAGGGAGCATATCACCCTGGGTCACCTCTACATGGACTTTCTCCAGAAGCAGCAAACATAAACCAGTGTAAACACATCAAACTAAATGGATTGTTTATTTTTCCTACCACAGCTATATTAATGCACCATTGTCTCCCTAACTATAACACTGCAGGGCAGCTGGCAGGAAAGGTTTGTTCTGACTGCACCAGATGAAGCGAAAGCTGGAATACTTCTGTGGATTAAGGTATGAGAAGGGCAGACATAAACGCCAAGAGTGCAGCTTCAGCTGCTATTTGCTACGAGGGACTTTTTTACTCTACCTCAGTTTCTCCCATCAGAAAGAGAAGCTTGGTCAGAGCAATAAGTTTGCCAGAGGAGGGGTACATGGATTAGTTAATATCTGCACAACTGCTCTGAACGTCCCACTGACACATCTTGTGGGGTAGATGCAATTGTGAAATTCTCTATCTTAGTAACGTGATCGGAGCTGTGAAAAGACTTTGAACAAAGCTTCCAAATTCTCATTTGGAATTTCTGACCTTAATTGCATCCACATAACTTCATGAAGGCAGTCAAGGGTTGAACATGTCCCTTTCACAAATACTCTGCTCATCTTCAGTCACATTTTACCTTCAATTAAGTTATTGACTCATTTAAACCAGTTGATAATCACTAATATACAAAACCTCCAAATAAATGCTATCATTTCTGAAGTTAAAACCATCATGACAAATGAATCCCAGCAAGCAAGCATGGATTTGGGCCAGCCATGATACAGACATAACCCCAGAGTGATAAAAACACAAATAATTCTGGTATTCCACATGGGCCAGTTGATCAGCAGGCTAACAGGTCAGTGCCAGGTTGACATCTGAGCACCACATGGGTGTAAGTTTTTCCAAGATGGTTACTTCATTCCTGAAATAAACTTGTTACAACCGCTAATCCCCTGCTCACTGAAAGCAGCTAAACTGCATACATGCATCTCAAGCTAATCAGCAGTTTTGTTCATACCGTTCTTTCACAATCACGGCAACTTCAGTGCATTCAAGCTCTTGCTGAAACTAATATAAAATCTGGAGTAGCATTCAACTGCACTTGTAATCCAAGCTCAATTTTAGCTTACTCACAGAATTCATAGTTCTTTTTCTTCCCACACTGCTGTATAGCACACAGATATCAGAGTAGAGGTTCATTTCATCACATTTCAATTAAAATTCCAGAATTTAAAATTTCTCTTTATGACCTCTCTCTTTCAATTTCTTTCTCTGAAAATATTGGAATAAAATTGCTGCTTCATCTCAGCAGATTTCAGTCTCCGGAGATTACTTCCAGCTGGCATACAGCAGAATACTGACTGAATCAATCTAAGCTGTTTTGAGTAAAGATCAAGAAGGAAAATCAAGACCTGACAGCTTGTTCCTAAGAACTTTCTTGCATTTCTATGCTCCCTGAAAATTAGACCCACCTGACAGTCTGTTCCATAAATGTCTACCAATTTGACAGCATTCCTCATCTCATGATACTTCACGTATTCAAGAGAAAACACCGTTAGATGTAAGATATCCTACGATTTTGTTCCTATGAATGCCTCACTGAAACAAAATGAAATCCATGTGAGACAGTAATTCCTCCCCAAGCCAGGTGCATAAATTATTGACAGTTCTGTACCTTATGCTAAAATCACAATGATAAAAAACCTTGAGAATATATAAAGGCATTTATGCCCACAAGAAAGGCACAAACTGTGCATATGGGCTGGATTTTGGGCAAGGTATGAAAATGAGCTGTATAAGTACTGGCAGGAAAGGCAGCCCTGGGGGAGGTTCACATTGGTCAAAGCTGACAAAGTCTGGATCATGCTATTCTGAAAGTGGTAAAAACTAGACTTAAGCATGTGAAGAAACAAAGAGAAGGAGTTAAGAAAGAAGATTCTTGCTTGAATTTAGCACAACTCAGAAGAAAAAGTTACCATTTTTGACAAATAGTTATCATATAATGCTTGCCACAAGTATTTACGTGACAGGTTACTTCTGAGGAAGGTCGCTTATTGTCAATGTTTGCTGCTTAGAGACACCTTCGCTTTGTCTGAGCTCAGAGTATGCTGTACTCTCCAGCTGTGAACAGCCAGCTCCTTAAAACACTGCAATGTCTCGTTAATGGAAAGCTCATGGTTTTTTTTTCATTGTTTTAGGGTTGTGGTTTTTTTTTAAGCAAAAAGAAAATTAGTCTCATGAAAAGGAGCTGAGACAGTCAGAATATTTACTGCACTGAACTGGTCTCAAGAGTTCATGGATTTCCATCAGCAGTGTTCTCCCAGGTCTGAAGCTGCTGTACACGTGTTGGCCTCTATTACATCTCATTAGAATCATCAATATCCCCCTCTTTTTTTTTCTTATTTTTTTTTCTGTGCATCAGCTTGCCTTTCTGCAAGGGGTGGTAGAGCTGTTCATACCTGGCTGTACTGTCCTGCTGACCAGTGCATTAGGTTAAAGGCTGTTATGGTGCCCTTGGAGAGGATACCTGTTTGCTTGTGCTACCCTGAAAGCTGCATTTATCAGTACAACGGAAGAAAGGGAAATTATACTTTCCACAGGAGAATGAAAGTACAAAGCACACCAAGTAGAATTCCCATGAAAAATTAAGTCACTTTTTTATACCAAAATAGAGCTTTTGATGAAAACCTCCCGTTTTCAAACAATCAATTTCCAATCATTTATTTACATTTTCCATGAAAAGCAGACCCCTTTTTGTAAGAAACAGAATCTAGAGAAAAAATAAACGTTCTGTCAAAAATAGCGTTCATGTGGAAAAATTTCATCCAATTCTGTTTATACAGCCACAGATATATAACAGCCATATAAACAGAGCTGTTCAAATGTGGGCATCTGCATACTCCCACCCTCTCTTTTCCTTGTCTCATATGATCTGTGAACACCATTTATGAAAAGAAAAAAAAAGAATAAAATATACAGAAGTTCAAGACTGAATATAAAATCACTGCAACAATTTCTTAGAGCACTGACAATCTAGTATTCCAGTGGGTGATTTATATGGGCCCTCTGAACCTTGGCTCATGACTTTCAGAACATGGTGAATAAACATGTATATGTGTTTAAAATCTCCAGCATTTTAACATTTACTTAGCAGGGTTCCAAGGACACATACGAGAAGTTTCCAATTGTCTAGGTGATTCAATAGGCTTTACAGCTTAGACATGTGAAACAAATACTTAGCAAATGTTTGAAGAATTTGTAACTGAGCATAGACTGCTTGTAGAGCCCAAAAGCTTGTCTTTGCCCGCATCTCAACTTCGTATTTTACACTGGTTAAAAAAAAATACTACCAGAACATAATCCTAAACAGTCAAATTTAAGGGTGTATCTTGGACAAAGATTTGGGATGAGATTTTCAGAACAAATCTGAGAGAGGGACTAAACAACAGCCAAACCATAGGAACTGTAAGTGAAGCACATTGGAGGGTTTACGTCCTTCACTGGCTTGTTAGCAGCAACATTACCTGGGACTCAACATGGACCCACACTTATCACCAAAAAATTATATATTCCCTGTATTGTCACCTGTACAATGTCCTCTAGTGCTATTCCTGCCCTTAAGAAATCATGCCAGAAGTGTGAGTAAAGAGAATTCCCACCTACAACAGACATGTTTCATTTCATGCTTCATTTCAGTTCCCCAAAGGTTTTTAAAAATACAGTCAAGAAGTATTAAAACATCATCCCAGATGTGGAATCAACCTGAGTTAGGCAAAAATGAGCCCAGTTCCAATCACTTACTGATGTGGTGCAATGCTGCAACTGATGTATTTATGCTTAATTTTTAACAGACATATTTACTCTTTTGTTTAATCTCACCTTCAGAGGCACCACTTGCATCAGAATGGCGAAGTTAGTGAGGTGGTTACAAAGACACACTGAGTAGTTGAGGTCCCCACTTTCACGCACACAACCTTCATTTGACCAAACACCAGTTCCATTGCTGCAAAGCACACAAAAACGGAACATAATCTCTATCAAAATGCATCTTGTGCAGGTTAATTTGACATGCATTGTACTGTACAGGAGATACAAAGGTATGAAAACAATCTCAGGCTGCAGCATCCACAAATACTGCTAGTGGCTTCTCAATTCCATCATGAAAAGAGTTAAGGAAAATCCTGACTGGAACATGGCTTGGATCAGACCCCTCATGAATGCCACTACAGATTTCTCCCCAGTCTTATGGCCAATGAATGATAACTACATTTTTTCTTTACATTGCGCAACCCATTTATTGCATTTCACCTAGACTCAAATTCCTCTATTCTGAAAGCTGCAGCATCAGACAAGTCAATAATCTTGCAGAAGTCATAAGTCAGTGAATCGTATCTGCTGCCCCTCCCTTATCCACTGTGCCACTCATCCTGTCAAAGTAATTCAGGCTGAGCAAGATTTCTAGTGACCCATCAATGTCAGTTGTTTTTTGTCACTTCATCCTCAGGAGCAACAAAAGCAGCTCCAGCTCCTCTGAGGATATGGCTGGACTGGCTGTGTGGCCAGGTCCCAAGGCTGTACAGGAAAGTGATCCTCATGAGTCTGCTTCTCCTTGGAACCAGAGAAACCCAGAATCCCCTTTGCTATCACAGCACTGCAGTGATGTGGGGACATAGAAGCCACAGGAACACAACCGAGGGCTCCATGGGCTCAGGCACTGTATGTCACCCACCCAAACTGCCTGCTTCTTACCCATTTATTACTTTTGATATTATGTGAGGTCCTGATGCTAGACTGAGTGATCTGTACTCTTCTTGGTACTTATTTTAAATCATTTTTCTTTTGTCCTTTGGGACCTCCTTGAGCTTTTAAAGAGAGTCTGTCATAGGTCAGAAACCAACTGCTTACTCTTTAACTGCCATGCACTAGGGAATAAGGCCATCTTGACACAAATAAAACTCATTTGGAAGGACAGATTTCATATTTCAGTTTCTGTCTGAAGGCAAAGCCTCAAGGGCTCAAGCCTCAAAGGAAAACAGTACAGGAACAATGCCCCAACCATATTAATTCACTTCAGTAAAATCTGTTTCTAATTTATTGTAATTTGTGAGTAACCATAACAACAAGTAACTGCCAACAGCTGGGATAGTTCAACGTACTTGAAACAAAACTTCAATAAAACAATTACAGTGACCTTGCATGCGCATGCTGGAGAGGAGGGACCACAGCATTGCAGGCCACTGCTATAGTAATTAGGCTTATACTGTTATGGCTCAAAAGATGTTAATTCCCAGGAAATTCAAAATTCACTATTTGTATCCCTTCTCAATTAATTCAGTTAAAGCAGCATGTCTGGAAACAAAAAACAGATGAAATATATTCAGGGCTAACAAAAAAAAAAAAAAAAAAAAGGTACTGCTTTCCTGTAGTTCCTCTTTCCTGAGTGAAATTTAAAGTGATGTTTATCTCCCTTTTATTCTAATTTGCATTCAGGGGCATAATATTTCACCCTTCCATGTACTGGCCAAAATTCACAGCTCTGAAACACTGACTTCACATGATGCTGTGACACAGAAACAGATCCAGTGAAATTAATGGCTCTGCTGGAGGTTTGCCATCTTAAAACATCCAAGCATCTGCCCAAGTGGACATATTCATAAACCAAGATAAGCAGGATTTGTATCAGTCTGCAGTTTTGACTGCAAAATATTTCAGAGTCTCAGTTACCCACCTAGTAGGGGTCTATGAATAACAAGTCTTCTCCTTATAGTAAGAAGCCGCTATCAGATTGTGGGTTTTGTAAGACAGGGCCTCTATTTCTTTAACTATTTCCGTAAATGAAAGAGAACAAGAATGTAGATAACATACAGCATCACAAACTAGGTGTAATCTCATTAATGCACATTAAAGAACTGGAAATTACACAACATACCTATAGTCCAGAAATGCACAGTAAAGATGAACTCTGTTACTCTTATTTAGTGCTTGGCTGTATTGTCGGGGAGTCTGCAAAGAAGAAAATATAAACACTGAAAGAATATTTAAGGAATACATTTTGCTATTCAACTACTTTAAATTTTCATTGCTATAACAACTTCCATAGACTTTTCTAGATTAATACACCATAACTGAAAGCAAATTTTATCAGTCTTTTCAGCTTTACCATAAACACCAAACATGCAAAGGCTGCTATTCAGTCTTAATTTTACACACTGGGATTAAACTCAAATCACTTTGAGCGAGAAGTCTGCATCCCGTTTAAGTAAACAGCAAACCAGGATTGTTTATTGTGTATAAGCACAAATATATGTGTTAATTTTTACAGGACTAGGACATTATTCTTCAGCATGTACTTGGCTTTGTTGGGTTTGTTCTCATTGGGTAATAAAAATCTCACATTTTAGGATTAATAACACTGAAATGTGTGTTGCAATGACCAAATCACAGACATTTTCTTTCCACAATAGCGATTACTTCAAAACGTACAATCAAACTGAAAGAGCAATGCCATAATTCACGATTTTATTTTAACACACCTTAGCAGTATAATTGACATAGTTTCTATCCTCCATAAACAGATTTAGCCGCTACTGCAATCTCCTCATTCAGGAAGCTCCAAAACCCCATTTTCCACTCTGTTACAACACTTTCATGACAAAATAATCGAAATAATATTGGAGTGAAGCAATAATTTGTTATAGACAAAAATATGCAAACTAGAGGATTTCCAGGATGTGTTCAACCCTTTCTACTACATAAATCCCCAAAGTCCACATTATGTTAGACCCTTAAGGCAATTTTTTAATTACAAAAGTCTTCAACATAAACTAATCACTGGTGAATTAACAACCCTCAGATTACTGCAGCATAATTCTGTTGTCAAGATGAAAGATAACCAAGTACTGCTTTCCCTGTTACAGAGAAGGAAGGCAAGAAAACCCACTGCCTAATCATGCTGAAACTCGACCAAGTACAGGAAGTCCCTGGTGCAATTTTCCTTTTCTCTCACAAGTCCAAGGAGTGTCAGGCACAAGGTAACACAGTTCCCTCCTTAGTAGTGATAATAAAACGTTTCTGCCTAACCCAGGACATTCACACATTCATACTGGATTTCAACACACTTGAAGTAGCTATGCTATAGATAAGGCCATTTACTACTTCTTAACTCACATCTCTGGATAACATAAATGGAATTTTCTTATCTGCTTGAGCAACAACCCCAGACAAACTTTCTAGTTCCTTGACTCACCCTGTTTTTCCTAAGACTTCATTACAGAAACAGCTGAGACTGCAGCTTTGTGGAGAGGAAAGAAGCAGCAGATCTCTGTGGAGAGGAAAGACTGCCACTCATCTGCCATGGGTCTCTATTTTCCCTTTGACTCTTCAGCTTTTTTTCCCCATGAGTGAACCAAAGCAAATGGTAAAACTCACACTCTCCCAGGTATGCCACACTGGGAAGTGATAACGGACAAGATTCACACCCCTCATCACCAAGAAATATCTCACTGATATAACCCCCAAGAAAGTTCCTGTCACTTTCTTTCCAGCTGTGGTGATAGAGATGTAGTGAAACCAAGTATATGAGGTTAACTAATACAGAACAGTCCTTCCTGAAAGCCCTTCCCCATCTCTGGCTGCCCTGTAAAGGCCCCATGCAAGGCTTCAGGATCTAGTGGGTATCTTCCCTGCTACATCCATCAATTCTGAACTTCCTATTGCTTTCAGAAAGTGCCCACCACAAGTCGCACCTTTAATAAACAGCAGTGGTCCTGCGCACCTTCCAAATCACAAGCCCTCTATGAAATAGGAGTGTTTCTGTCTGAAAGTTTCTGTGTTTCAGAAACTGCTTCCTTCCCTTAATCCCACCTCTTGCTGCTCAGTGTATTCTTGAAGAGCACTAGTTCAGAAACATCAGAAGACCAATGATCCATAACCCACAACTGGAAAACTGCCTTCTGCAACTTCAGTTAATTTAGAGTTTTGTTGGCACAGCTCATTCTGCTTTACCAGCAGCAAGGCATGTAGCATGTTTGCCCATTATGCTGTATAATGTCATGTCTATAGCTTTCCTGAACTAAGCACTTGAAAGAATCTATAGTCAGTTTGTATGACAAATTACTTCATGTCTGTGATAGACAAATAGTGGCTAAAAAAAAAAAATAAGAGAGAGAAAGATCTGCTGTAATAACAGCTGTCATTTCTGATTTGTAAGATATCTCTCGATAAATCTTGATTCTTAATACACTAAATGGAAAGGGCATCGGAGGGTCAGGTTGGAAGAAGACAAAGTACTTCACTTGCGTATCTTTTTACACAAATAAATCCCAGATGTATGTTTTAGCCTCTATTAAGTATCTCTGGCAAAGGACAAATTATTATTTTTCTCCATCTTTACACACAGATGTCACTCATTAGACAAAGGACTACACTAAGTGAGGCTACAGTCTCTGAGCTGTCCAGAATTGTGTGCATACCCACATGGAAAAAGAATACATAAGCAATAGTTTACAAGAAAGGTTCTTACCAATTTGTCTATTTACTTCTCTTAAAGAATCCCTCCCATGTTTTTACACAGACAACATAAGGCTCACAAGGCTTTTCAGTGTCATTTATGATAACTGCATTAAAAAAAACGCTCATCTTCTCAGACTCCATTAAAGTTCTGCAACAAAACCATCATTAGAACAGAAAGCCCCCAAATATATAAGAAACTGGCTAAAATGAAGAATAAACCCACTTTGATCTTCAACAACTCTACTTCAAATTACTCTCTAATCTATGAAAAAAGGAACTGACTGTACCTCAATACTGCATTGCTTGTGTTAAACTGTGTGTGACAGCTTATATGACTTGGATCCCGCAGCACTGAGGATATCGATTTAATGACATTGATAACAGAAAGCTTAATATACAAGTAGGCTTTTACTCCAAAAGATTAAAGTCACCCTAATGTTTATAAAAGCCTATGAAAGGACAGTTTATGCAGCTTTCAGTAGTCTGCAGAGGGAGAGCAGCAGCATGTTAAGTAAGCCAGGATCTGTGCATTGACTCTCCCTCATCTCTTGTCTTTCTATCAGTCCTCGTGCATGGAGAGGGGAACATGCAGCTTCTTCAAACAAGAATTATGTTAAAAGAGAACCAGAGCAAAGTGTGTGTCTGTCTGCTGAAGCAGGTATCCTGAGGAAGGACTGCCTCTGTTTACATCATGGCTGTTCAGCATCCCTAAACTAAACACTGACTCTCACTACATTAGTCAGAGTTACAAGCAAACCACAGAACCTCACTCTATCTGCTGAGAGCATACAGAGGATATATATGGATGGGGATACAGCACTACTTACATGCTGGGAACTAGGCACAAGGCCACGGTTAGTTAGTGAAAAGGCCAAAAAAAGGGGGTGGGGGGCTAAAAGGACTGCTGGAAACCCTCAGGAAAAGCTAGTTGCAGGAAATGTCATGAACACAATTGCAGAAGAAAAACAGTCAGCCAGCTGCTGCTGGGAAGGCTTGCCAAGGAAGAGAGGCCAAGCAGAGGGTGGGGTGAACCTTTGTGAGATTAGCTTATTTCTCCACCCCTGACTTTAAAAAGCAAATATTTAGCTACAGAGTGGTGGCCACCAAGGGAAGAGGGTGTGCACCTTCTCATTCAACATGCATTTTTCTCCAACACAAAGAAGGAAATATTGGAGGGTCAGATCTGCCATTGATCTACACTCAGTACTTCCAAGCCCAATGTATTGGGTGTTGGACCTCCTCTCAAACAAAGCAGCTAATAATTTACCCAATTCAATTAAATTTGGAGTCCACTTATCACTGTTTACAAAATACAGCATTTTGTCTAATTCAGAGATTTTGAAGCTTCTCAAAATCTCCTCAACCTCCAAAAATACCATGGATTATTTTGAAGGTGGCAAGAAAAGGCTTGAAGACAAGCAAGCCTCTTGCCAGTAGGCTTGTGCCTTCTGTGTAGTTCACAGGCACACTGAAATATTCTTAGAGATTTATGAATCAAAAACACTTTTGATTCTGGTATATGGATCAAATTACAGACTAAAATGACTCTTCTAATTTAGAGCCTTTCTGCCCTCACAGTGACATCCTGACACTTAGCATGATCTATCCAAGGCCATACAGTTTATTGACTTTCCATCTTTTACTTCTAATTACTTAGAAAATTAAAACTTTAATGTACATTCATCTACTCAGTTCCCTGGAAAAAAGACAGAAAGAAAGAAAGAGAAAGAAGGAATCATCACCTATTTCTATATCAACTATATTGGCTGTTTTCTTCCAAGCTGTGGGAAGACTGCATTGCAACAGACCTCGGGCTCAGACCACCCATCTATTTTAATTTAGTGTCTTTTTGACTGATTCACCCCAAGATGTAATTAGCCCAAGTAATGAAAAAAAATGTTTTAAATTGTACAAAAAAGACTTTAGCTTGTGAATAGGGAATTATACTGTGCTGTGCATAAAAGCCAGCCCTGTAGTTGTTCCACCACTTTCAACAAGGCAACGCCAACACACACTTACTGAAGCAACAAGCAAGAGCAATGTAGGCTCCCAGGGTCAACATGAAAGCTCACTGAATGTATTTCTTGATGGTACAAACATACAGTTAAGAAAAAAAAAACAAAAAAACAACAAACAGAAAATCCTCTGATACCACAAAGGTGGGAGACTGCGAAAGGGAGCAACATAAAGGAAAAAAAACCAGAGAAATATCAGACTATAAAGTCATCTGAAATTACAAAAGTTTGCCGTATGTAATTGAATATGGATTGGGTTTGATCCTTCCTTTGCCTGAGGTTAAAAATAGTCGATGTATCGATTTCCTGCAAAAATATTGTTAATCAAATGCTACACCGATAGCCTTCCCCAGTTCTCAGACTTCTCCATTTAACAGCTGCTCTATTGGGCAAGCAGTGTGAGAACAAAAAGAGGAATGAAAAAAAGCAAAGAGCAACAGACTGAAAAATCTCTTGGCTGCTCTAGTAGAGAGCATT